TTATTGAGCTTGAGCATATTCGAATCTCGAATCGCGGGGACGGTTTTCAGAATACGGCCCAGCAGGTCTAAAATGTAAACTACGTAGGTCTCTCTGTTTTTTACGAAAATCTAAACTTATCAATTATTGAGCTTGAGCATATTCGAATCTCGAATCGCGGGGACGGTTTTCAGAATACGGCCCAGCAGGTCTAAAATGTAAACTACGTAGGTCTCTCTGTTTTTTACGAAAATCTAAACTTATCAATTATCTGGTAAGAATACGACTCTTTCTACTTTGGCACAGAAATCGAAATTTCTAAGCAATTATCAAATTTCCTTAAGAATTTGATGAGAATTCTTTGAAAACATTTACCGGCTGGGCTGCAAATAAGGTTTCGAGACAAGGCGTTTAAAAGTTCTCTCATTTTCCGCTCTGTTTCAATCCTTTGCACATGAGCAATGTTTTGATTTGTTCTTCATTATATTTTCCTGGACGTTTCTCGAATTTCAAAACTGGAACGCTCCTAAAAGCACTCATAACTTTCACGTATTGTATAGAGAATGAATGAAAATCTTTATTATGAATCGGCCATGTAATATCCTCTATCTATTAAGTATTTTTATTCCTAAACACAAAGGGAAATAAAAGGTTAGATGTCCGCATAGCCCCATACACTTATTATGGATACATTTTATGACTCCATTCATAACAACTATTTGTGTGAAATACAATGTTTAACGATGAAATTGCTGCTTGCAAAGTAAATGTATGCGGTTGTACAGTAAATGTAAAGTATGGAGAAAAGTTGCAAATTGAACCACAACTTTTACCCAATGCACATGTATATTTTATTGACAGGATATTCTCAAGGACCGGTTAAAACAGAAGGTTTCTTCGCATGAGCGGCTGATTTTTTTTATTGGCAAGTACAATGATGACCCAAGTCTTTGCCCGTGTTTATGGAAGAGCCCAATTACTGTTGCTTTGTGAGGTCTATGAGGTCCCTGTCAGACGGCTTGATACCAAGATAGAATTGGCTAAAACTCTCATTGAAGCCTTAAAGGGGACAAGATCAATATCGTTTACTGCCCTAGTGGATGTCAGGGAGTTCCAGGTCGTAGAGACAGTGCATGTTGAAGAACATGGTGGACTGCGTATGCGGTTCAGGATAACAGGTAGCTCCATTGGAACATTCAATTAAGGCAAATAAATTAGACTATACTCAGTTTTCGTGGTTTTGCGCCTTTTTCCGGTTGGCATTGAACAAGCTGAAGAAGAATGCTCATTAGCTGCTCCAACATTGCTTTTGGGGCTGATGGTTGTTTGGCCAAAACGAATGGAGTTCTGTGTTGATTCCTGCTGCAGATAGGTTGGATTGTTATTTTGACCATCACATGATCTTACTTGACAAAAGTAATTTTCTACACCATCGTGGTTCATTATTGCAGGTTTGATTATGGATTGTGGAAATTGTGTTTGTTTCACTGCAAACATGGAACCAAAACCCAGGCACATAGATTGCAAGTCAAACCATAGTTTGGAAGAAACAAATTGGTTGTTGTTTTCTGAGCATTCACTTCTCCAATCATTCATAAATTTGTGAAATTGATTAAGCTGTCCAAGGCGAGGATCTGCATTTGATCTGATCCCTAGTTTGTCATTAAAAAGATTAACCAGTTTGGATGTATGAACCAACAATGATATTGTGTTGTCGAGGTGAGAGCTGTCTTTTCCTTGTCCCATCATGTTCTCTTGGTATTTCTGTTCAAATAATCATCATAGAAAAGGAAATTTTCAAATGTTTATTAATTTAAAAGATTGATACAACAATATTTTAACTTCATAAGAAATTTTATCCCGAGTTTGTTGATTATATTAATATAGTTTTTTGGTCAGCATAATAAATTGTGGGTTATTTCTTTCCAAGATGGTTCATTTCATGTCTTACAAACTACGCACCTTCAGTCACTTCAACAGCTTGTAGCAATTTCAGTATTTCCAATAGGAAACTGCTCTACAAATCTCACCTAATAATGGCACTAAAGTCAAAGCTAAGGTTTTAACTGTCTTTCACCTGCATTAAAAATAGCATCTTATCGTCAAGTACATCTTCAGCTAAATGATTTCTCATTTTTAAGACTGGGGCAAGATTGAAATGTTGGTAAGTTAACTTTTCATGCAGAGGAAGACTGAAGGACTTCTGATCCCAATTGAAGGCATCTTTGAAATACTGCCAGGTCACATTCTTGCCCTTTATCATTAGACAACGGAGTTTACCACTTGCATTGCTCTTTTCTATATTGTTCCTGATCTTGATCTTAATGTAATTTTAAAAGTTCAACCTCATTGTAACAAACCTCTTTATAAATAAGCCCTCAGTATAACAAACGACATACTTTGCCCAAGTGAGCGAAAATGTCACACAGGAACCTAGTTTCAACATGTTATCCACTTTGTAGCCATTTAGTTTTACTATACACATAGCCCAGGTTGATTCTTTCTGGTTGAAATTGACTTCGGAAAATAGTAAAGTGTAGATTGTTGCTATATCTTTGGAGAAGAATACATTTTGTGCCTAAATCTACCTTTGGATCCATGACAAAAACCATTGGTGTTCCAGTGTGGATGTTTGAAGTTATAAACTTATCCTTCACAGGATCCCTTCCTCTAAAGTGCACTTTGATAAACTGTCTATTGCAGTCTGCTCCATCCATAATACTCCAATATATCCTGAAGTTGACAGAAAGAATAGAAAGACAATTTTTTAGATTGGAGTTGAAATCTAATTTGTTATCATAGTTGTGTTTTATAGTTAGTGAATGTTTTGATTGTGGGTAATTTGCCCAAATTCAATGAAAAATAACTTATTTTTACTATCTTTGACATTAGCTCCTTGGAAAGCATTTTCAAGATGTAATTCCAAGAAGAGTGCCCTATGATGTATTAAAAATGTAGAACATGTTGATTCAGATAGTGCTAATGTCATCCCAAAAAAAATCATAAGCTGGGCATCCTGGAACTCACTTGCATGCCTTCAATTCTTTCGTGGAGCACAGCCATGCTAACTTGGGCCTGTTTTTTTTTTCTGAATGCCTGTAACTATTACTTTAGTTTCAAATATTGGTTCCATCGATTCAGGAATCCCCATATAAAGACATTAAACTCAGGGAATAAAAGTGGTAAGTTCAGTTTTGATTCTGATATAATGTGGCTAGGATCTTTTCTTATAAGTGGGTGAAAATTTTAGAGTGCTCCAAAGCAATTCAAATTGGCTGTCATCAATTACATGAATTGGTTGGATTGCTCAACCCAATTTGTTGTTTAAAAATTGAGATCAATATTTCACGATCCTATTAATACATGTTGTTCTAAAAAATAATAATTTAATATACTGTTATGTTGTTCTAGGATGCTAAAGTAGAGGCATGCATATATGTCAAGAAACATCAAAAGTCCGCAGCTTACACGAAACGAAACTCCAGCATTTTCCTGACGCCTTTCCAAAAGTTAAATAAAGATCACTCGGGGAGCATTCACCAGATGGGAACTGTACAACAGGAAAGCGAAATGCACTGTCACTTATGAAAATGAATTCAAGACATGAGTGGCCAACTGTGGTTCAGTCATTACGAGCCTCAGCGCTCCGGAAGTTAAAAAATTCGTACCGTCTGGTTGCTATGAAGTGACGTAATCATCCAGTTGAGTATCCATCACCGTAACACTTTTGCGGTCAACTACCGCAGCGCTCGTAAAGTACTTTAATTAAAACCGTGTTCAAAACCCTGTAGGAAGTTTGTTTATTTTTGAGTCGATTAATGCACTGCTGACTTTCACGAGGTCAACTTTCATTCTTTCTGGTTCATCCAGGTAGAAGTCCTGGCATATTATTATGCCTGAGCGCTTCTAGGATATATAACACGTTTAGCATTTAGACGCGTAGCTGTAAAAAAAAAAAAAAATAGGTAGTTGTTCTATATCCTTTCTGGTTCATCCAGGTAGAAGTCCTGGCATATTATTATGCCTGAGCGCTTCTAGGATATATAGTAGCAGTTTGACCCGTAGAAAAAACAAACTCAGCCGTCCATTTTGTAGGAGATATTTAAGCGTTTTTGTCTGTGTTAGCAATGTGATCGACTTAATACGCAGACTTTAATAATACGTTTTTTTCTTTGACGGCACTGAATAATTTTAGCCGAAACCTGAGCCGTACATTTGTTGAATGCCGCGCTTTTAATTAAATTTCTCGCCCTAGAATGATGACATGATGGCGCGAAAATTGACGCCTCTATCGTATTAGATGCGAAATATGATCAGAGATAAATGGAATAGTGAATGTTACAAGCTTCTGAGTATCCAGCTGAGAAAAGTCCCCTATCTCGGCTAGATAAACAAAATTTTTTGGGCTGCTAAGACGGCGCGGCACGTTATGTTACCTGTACAAACACATAGCCAAAGTAATAATTAAATTAGGGTTTGATACCAGGTAAAGTTTTAATCAGTCTCCAAAATAGTTTAAAAATACAACATACTAGACAGGCTTGTTACATCATGGCCCTCCAAGGTCAACAAATCCAACTAGCCTGTGCTTTCCATGCTTTACTACCATTTCTAGGCTCTCCTAATTGTAATAGCAAAGCAAAATAATTGTTTAATATTACTTATTAATAAGCAAAATTTCCTGTTGGAATTCCTGTGTTTGTTTTTTCTCAAATGTTGGTTTTAGAAAGCAATGACTCTTTGTTCTAAAATTGAGATTGTGTTGCCTACAGACAGAAATAACAAGCTGAACGTGAATGACTCACTGTGAATAACGCACTTGAAAAAAGTATTTCATATATACAGGCTAGCCCGGGCCATGTAACCTGTAGGTCAAAATCCTTATAGCTGTGTGAGCGATCCAACATACCGATTTAGTAATATAGCAGATAAGTTTTTTTTCCCCATACAAACCTGAATTTTCATTTCGTCTATCAAAAAAGCCTCCCCAGTAATCCTCCTCCCGGAGATTTTTCTCTTGTGCAGTCTCCAGGCACCAATTTAGCACTTGATCGTTCCAGCCAGGTTTTTCTTCTACTTTGTACTTATAGAGTCTGTGAAATTAATGAACATGGCTTTTTAATTTAATTTTTCTAAATTAAAAGGTAAACATGTTCATCGTTTTCATTATGAGATCATCTTTAAATTTAAAAGGTCAAGTATGGTCGTGTCAAATGATATGCCACAAACAAGGTTACCTGTTAGTGCGGTTGCTTGGAAGAATGATAAATTTCCTAAGGGGTCAAGGACGTGGGGGTTCTTACAATACAGGTCAATGCACAATCTGATGATCCTGTAAAATAATATTGTCAAAGAAAAATTCATTAAGCGTTATTGAATGACATTACGTACGTACAATCTAACACTGAGTGCTATGTACTGGTCTGCATAGCTGAGGGGGAACTCGTGGGGGAGCATATTAAAACAAATTTTTAAGATACTAGGTGCATAAACGACCGCTTCGCCCACGGCCTGTTGGTTAGGGTAATCTAATAAGCGTATTTTTTCCTGCCATTTATTTCATTTTACTTTCTACCTTGTCGTTGAAGTACTTATTTTGTTAGAGGTGAGTAACACCTATTATACAGATACACCTGCGGAAAACAACTTACTTCGGGTGCCATCTGTAACTCCGCTTACTTTTGGTGGCCATGATACTTTTCTGTTGGGCCCAGGGGCATTCCATTTCCTGTGGAACTTTAGACTTGTCTATGTTGTGTAAGATTGTGGACAGATCCCTGTGATCCTCCTCCTCTCACTGCAGGGATTCAGTTTCAAATTTTTCCCTCCATTATCTCTTCTTTTTTTTCTGCATTGAATCGTTGCTTCTTTTGCTGGTTCAGTTGCAACACGACGTCTTCTTTGCTCATGTATCATGTATCCATCTGAAAGGGATATTCCGTTGCAAAACGAGGATTTCTGAGCATAGTTCAGTGCCAAATTAACTCTGCCCAGTAACGAGATTGCCGCAAATTCCTAGATGCTGCTCAAATTCCTCTGACATCCGTGTGCCTTTACGCTGACGAATGAGTGTCCTGTCTTCCTATCCTGGTCAATCACAATTTCGGTGGATACTCTTGCGTTATTGACCTCCCATGCCTCTACACGAAATATACGCCAACAGTGTGGCTTGTCTCGGACAACTTTCCAATCGTCAGGAACCGTAAGATCAGCAATTGCCTGAGAAAGAGGAATGAGGCCATCTACATCGCCACTATGGTGGGTTGGATCTTTTTTCTTCACATTCAAGTAAACGCTCTGCTGTTGCTTCCTAGGACCTCTCCGAGTTCGAATAACGGCATCTCCCCACGAATCCGTCACAATAAAACCTAAAGAGGTTGAAATTAGAGCAGATCCAGCGGTGTTTTTTTATTGGCTTGCGCTGCATGCTCTATAATATGTCCGACTGGTGTGACAGGACCAAGTTCATAAGTATAATTGGCCAGCACCCTAAAATAAATATTGAAACGGTGTTAAAAAAAACCGTGATGCGCCAGAAAGATCACTCGTTAAGTGGCCAAAAGATTTGCGACGTTAATATGACATAAACTGAGCCAGATTTCAGTGGCACCCAACGACTGTTTTTTGTAGCTTTCATTCATGTACAATTTTCGAAGCTTATCTTACAAATTCCCTCTGATTTTATAAAGTTTAATTTTTCGCATTTCACTTCCCAGGTTAAGCTATTTTTCGTAGCAAAAGAAAACCTTAAATTTTCGGAATCAAAAAAGTGACGGAGAGAGGAATCAGAAAAATTCTTACTTGCGTAAAACTTTATATTGCATCCAAAATTTTCGGGAAAATGTAAATATTGAAGCCCTTGTACTTTTCCAAAAGACTCATTTTGCCCTAAGATGACCAAACAGATACGAATTTTATAGCTGGGCTAAAAAGAATAAGCGGCAGTGGAAAAAGTGAACAAGAACATCTACGACATTTCCTCCATAAAACGTGAAAACCAGGAAGTTTCTGGACGTTTCACGTTGTAGTCATGCAAAACAACGGCAAGGAAATGTACAAAAAAGTGTACTGCATGCAATTAGACCTATTGTTGTATTTCACAGTTCTTGTTGCCTTCGCCGCTTAGCATTACACGATTTTATATTTTAGTATGAACAAACTATAAAAATTATCTATGTATTAGCGCCACTTAGAATGCATTTTTAGATATCTTAATTACTCTGAACAGCCTTAAAAGTGTTTTAAATGCATTTAGGAAGAAATCGTCGTTGGAGGCCCCTGAGTTTTGAAAATAATAATAATCATAACCAAAAATATATATATATATATATATATATATATATATATATCGCTCACGTAACTTTTTTCCTTACCATACCATACCTTCCATTCAGCCGCACAGCCGAGGCGAGATTTTGCCTTTTTCCTAGGCGGCAAATTGCCATCCTCCCTCTCCACTTTGGACAACATATTGTTGCTGTTCTAGAAAGAACTGTTTATTTCATGACTTTAAGCAAATAGGTCCAGTAGAGACAAGAACCTATGCAAGCGGCTGGACAAACAATGTGAACGTTAGAAGAATTCGAAAACCAGGGCCGCCATGTTGAAAACTTACGGACGGTCGCGCGATCGCCTTTTGGTCTCTGGTCAAAACTAACGCAGCGGACCCTCGCTCAGTGTTGATTGACCTAGAAGCAATAGTACTATCCCTCCCATAACAAGTGTTGCATTGTCGCGCGGACGCGGTCGCTAATCTTGAATATTCACGTCGCGTATTAAACCGGGTAGTTTGCGGTCATATCGAAGCGTAAAGGTCAACAGTGTTTGTTGATGAGCGAGCGATTATTGTGCAGTTGCGATGGCTTTTGTGGAGCAAGCGAGCAAGGAACCGGAGCACACGTTACCTGCAGATTAGCCAATGGCAATTTGGAGCGGATTCGTCGATTATTCTCGAATTTATACCGCTTCGCGTGAAGGCGCGTGGAGATGGTCCGTTTGTTTTGTAGCCAGCCTTTAATTCTTCTTTAGTGGATAGTACCTACAATTGCAAAACTAAACAAAATGCCACTTTAACCGGCCAGGAAAGACAATGAGACGTTCAGTTAGAGGTATCTTACCTTTTTTTTATATTTTGACTTTTGGACTATTTTAGTTCATGGGAGTTTCAACGACTCATCTTATTTTGTCCACGTGAATATTAATTAATATATTGACACACACTACGTCTGGGCCACCTGTGAAAATAACTGCTTTTTCGACTCAAATCTCCATCTCAAGATTAGCCGACATGTTTGTTGTTTGCCAGGCTAAAACGTGACTCTGGCACTTGCGCGGTTTGATTTACGTTGTTACGCGTGGCTTTTGAACCAATTAGAAAAGTGTGAAACGATTGTTCAAACACAAGCAACACAGTGTTTCAAACAGAGTACAACAATTTCCATAGCATATTATCTATTAAATAGAGTCAATAGAAAGCTGTCTATCTATTACTCATGTTATTTTCGAGACAAAGTGATCAATTGCGAAGTTGTTCATACAAACCATGTTTCCAAGTCAGGTTCGACGGCAGTAACTCAGCTGGATTATTGCAAGGTATGTTCTTCTTGATATCGTGGTTCGTTAAAATGCTTAAGCTTACTTTGGTTTTGTAATAACTTTGCGTAAGCTTAAAGCTTCAAAGATAAATCTTAAAATTTAAGATGCAGAGGTATACCATTGATTGATTCCTTTTTGTTTACTGCAGAAATAACTGTACTCTTTGTTGCAAATCGTCAATTGAATACTCTGAAACTTATGTGTTCTGGCGCTACTAGGCTATGGCAGACTTATCAAGACCAACGTTAAATAAGCTTAATATAGGACAAGAAATAGCATTAAAAGCTTCCGATATGCAATTTCTACCACATGTTTAATGGTACTAAATAAGTTTCAGTTCATTTATAATGAATTGAGAGTTGAACTAAACCTATAAAATTTGAATATGTTTGTTTCTTTGAGCTTCAAAATATAACTTGCAATAAAGTCAGAAATAAAGGGCAGCACTAGTCTGATGTGCAGTTGTGGATCTTCAGTTCAGAAAGCTGTCCGGCGACTTTGAAAGAAGCAGTCATTTAGCATTATTTATATATCTGTCTGGATTTGCAAAAACATGGCTACAGAAATCTCTCTTATATACCCTCTCACTGAGTCTTGTAGTGGAGCATGTTTTTTTTTTTCCTTAGTTTCTTTTTATTTATTTAATCGGTACCGGATAGGAAAACGTAGATAGACTTTGATGAGTTTCTCACTGTCTATTAGCCTATTACTCCCCCCCCCAAAAGAAATGTTTCTCATAACTTCCCATAATTCTCTCTGTATGTCAGTTTGAAACCAGCGCGCGTATTAGACTGAACTCGGTTTTCATAGTGGGTTGTCTTAGAGTTTTTTTGGCTGCCTTGAGCAAAGTTTTCCGGAAGGCATCATTTAGCCTTATGAAGGAACAATTCTCACGTCTGGCAAAGTTTGCTGCGTCCAATATCTTCTGGTATTTCGTCTCATTTCGGGCTACACGGGTGAAAGACTTATCCCGGGCTTGAGACGGAAGTTCATGCTGATTTCTGACCAGGCCAAAGACTTAGTAAAAAATTGTTTGGAAGGCGGGGGCTGTATGTCTCCTTTTCAACCGCTGGTTTACATCCGGGATCTTGAATAAATCGACTGTCAGTGAGTCGAGAAAAGTTCCATGTGACGATTTATGTGGAGAAAGCGAGAGTTTTAAGGAGTAATTTGACAATGTTTCGCCCGTGTTAAGTGTGGAAATATTATGAGTGGTTTTGGGAAGTGTTGTGATTGCCGCGAAAGTCATTTATTGTGTGATTTACCGAAAGTGTTGACAGACAAATCTCAGGTATGTGCGGTTGAGCTCGTGTTACTAGAATACTTTGTGTCAAGCATAAAAACGCTTCGTGAGTGTTTAGTTCAGGTGATTTTGTCTTAGAAAGCCTATTCTGTGCTCAAAGATTGTGGATTCTTAATCTGTTTTCGGCCGACACTGAGCTGTGGGCCTCACGGTTTGACTGACTAAAAGATTACAATTTCTAGACGTTTCAAATGTTGTTTTCATCGCAAAATCCTGTTACTTCTGCGAGAGAACTTTACCGTCTATTGCCAGCAATAATGCTGTCATTGTTTAGCTTCAGCTAGTGACTTTTAACTGCTTCCCATTCCACTTAGATGTCAAATAGTTAAAATGCACTTGAAATTTCTTTAGCCACGTTTTAACAAACCCAGACAGATAATAGACATGTTTTACACTAATCTAATTGATCCTTGTAAATTGTAAATTGTAAAGTAAATTGTTACCAAGAACCTAAAAACGGCCGTCTCATCATTAGTTTAGGTCTTTTAGAAATACCTTTGGCTTACACTGGACTGTTAAGCCTTAAAAATGATTTGTGCAGTTTATAGTGAGTACAATTGCTTTACCTCTATAAGGACTTAGCTCAGATTCTTGAGTGTGGCTTTAATTTAACCTCTAAAAACTTTACTTTCTTACTCGAAAGAGCTTCTGTAGCACGTTACCGTACAGAATATGCCTCAGTAAAAGACTTTAAAGCGATCTATGACGAAATTAGTTGCTCCTTGTGATTACACGTGAATTAATTAATTAAGGTCCTTTCTGCAGTCTGGTCCTGGGGGGACAGTGCTACCTGTCCGGGCAAGTACTTGGTAGTACCACTCTAGCCAGTGTCTTGCGACAGCCATTTTGTGCTCAATATCTGTCTGATTTCATTAAAACGTGGCCACTGGATTTTCGCCTGGCGCCGGGCGAAGCCCGGCTCCAGGCCAGCCCGGTGCCCAAAAATGTAGGGGGGCTTGCCGTCTTGGTCGGTACAGCTGGATAGCCCAGGGACTGCCCTAACAGTGGGTGGGTGGATCAGGCCTTGGGGTCAAAACTAGTGGGGTAGGGAGGGGGCTGTATTGACACAACCTCTTCAGTAAGCAGCAGTGTTCAGTGGAGGCTTTGACTGGCGAGTACCTTAGTCTTAATTTGCCCTAGCCAGCTAAATCAGGCCTTTGCTGAGAATGATTATCATGATAATTGCAGAGCTCAGTGGGAGGTGCAGACAGTCGCCCATTGTCCTGGCTGGGGAGGGTCAAAGTCTTGGTACCAAGGACGCTCTTAGCATAGGACCTTTAGACACTCACCGAAGCCATGTTTTCATAAATCCAGTCAGATATATATATATATATATATAT